GGGATGGGCCTGTGCAGGGCTGAAGGCTGGACTCAGTGCTGGTGGGTCCCTTCCAACTCAGCATATTCTGTGATTCAGTGAACCATCCATCTTCTCTTTGCTGCAGGTGTCCCCTCAGAGGTGCAGTGGTTCAGCCATGACCGAAAGCACAAAACCCTCCCCCAAATCCCCAGTGTCTTTCAGCTGGTCAGCAAACCTTAGTGTGGGATGCCCCTCTGGAGTGCTTCCCTTGGGCAGCAAACCAGTTGTCCCTGGGCCCGAGAGGCAACTTCAAGATGTGCTTGGGGACAGGGAGCAGGCAGAAAAACCTGACAGAGGTTGAAGAAATACTGGTGATATCCTAATTGGACATTTCATCCTTCATGTTCACTCTGGTGTGGTGGTTTTAGCTTGTTTGTCCTTGCAAAAGTTTTCATGGGTTAAAAATATTGTTACCAAAATGAAACATTTACATAACATCAAACTGGTGTTGCTTGGCTGTCCCACTTATGAATCTTTATGGGATTTGCCTTTTTTCCTGGTTTGGGATGGGGCAGGGGCATGCCAGAGTCCTGTGAAGGTCTGAGAGAGGGAGAAACAGCCTCTCACTCCTCCTGGACTGGAGCCCAGGTCTCAGGGGGTGGCAGGAGGATGGAGACAAGGGAAAGCTGTACCATTAATCAGCCTCTGAAAGGCTCAGTAATGTGCCAAAGGTCAGAAGGACTTGTTAGTATTTGTGATCGATGTCTTGTTGAGATCCCAGCTGTCTGTTTCAATATACACGTTACAGCAGATTTCTTCTCAGAATGGCTAAAAAGGCAGTGGATTCAAAGCAAGTGCTGGAGCTGATGCTTTAAACCACCTCACACCCTGTGGGAATGTGTCAGCCCTTGTGTTTTCCCACTTGCCTCAGAAAGATGAGAGCTCAGAAAAAACCCTCCCCTCTGTACTCAGCCCAGGGCTGCTACAGGTCGGGCAGGGGAGGCCTCCAGCAGGTGCATGAGCCCATGGAAACCCCTGGGACAGAAGGAAGAACCCAAACCCCTGGCTGCCTCCCTTGTGCCATCCCCCACCACATCTGCCTCAGCACCACATCCTCCACTAAGGCCGTGGGATAGCAGTGGAGGTGGCTCTGCCGGCACATAAGGGGTTAAACCGGAGGGAGCTCGTTTTAGGGGAGCATCTGCAGGTTTTCTGTCCATGTTGTCCATGGCAGGGTGAGTTGCTCTGAGCATCCTGCCCCCAGCTGCGGATCCCGTCCCCGCTCTGGCAGATGGGGCTGAAAAGATAAACGAGGGAGGGGAGAGGAGGCGGGAGCGCCGCGCGATCCCTTCAAGCCCCCCCTGACAGCTCCGCACACAAAGACCCTTCCCCGAGCTGCGTGTGAAAGTAGTTTTTTCCTGTTGATTCGCTCCCCTCTTTCTCCCTTTCCCCTCTCGGGCTTTGTACCCTCTCTGAAGGGACCTGAAAGAGCTTCTCCGTCACCCGCCTCCGAAGGGCTTAGCGGCTGAAAGCTGGATTAGCTCCCCAAGCCTTCCCCTCTGTGCCTTTCAACAATGACATCTCCCCAGCCGGCACGAACAGACGCAGCAATTAGCACCAATTAAAAGGAGAGGCTGCCCGGGAAGTTCCCTTTGCTCAGCCCGGAGGCTGTTTCGGACTGTCCTGCGGTCGGGCATCGGTGATGTTGGCTCGCGGTGGTGGATGTCAGGCGTGGCTGGGGAGTGGGGAGGAGGAGGGGAAGGAGGGTGGGTGGATGCGGGAGCTTGGCAGCTCAGTGACAGCTGAGGGGCAGGGTAGGGGGTTGCAACAGCCTGAAAGCGAGCGAGAATGGAACCGTGGAGCTGGTACAGCTTCAGGTCATGTTGGGATATGTCACCTCTTGACTCTGCTCCCCAGCACCCTGCCTGGGGGGTTTATCTCCCTCCAGGGCATGGGAGTCTGCCTGCTGCAGCATGGGGACAAACAGATGTCCTATAGCACGGCATGATGCTGGGACATCCATTCCTTATTTCATCAGAATTTCTGTCTCTGGGAAATGCAGAGGGGAAACAGCCCAGTGCTACCTGAGGCCTGAGCATCTGCACAGGACACAACCCCACTGTGGCTGTGGCAGTCCTGGGGACATGGCTGTGTTAAGGGGGGTCAGCAGGAGTTTGGCAAGCAGGAAGGTTTGGGGATGTCACAGCCAGGACAGTGGCAGCAGATTTGCCACACTGCAGGCTTGGCAAGAGGGCACAGGGCAGGGTGCATGGCCCTGTGTCTGGTGGTTATAGGGTGTGGCCCTTGGGCCAAAAGCACAGGGGTTCTCCTGATACCTTGTAAGGGCTGCATGTCCCACAGGGAGCTTGTCCTGCTAATACTGGGACGCTCTGTGTGCCCTCTGGTGTGCCCAGGGCAGGGAAGAGGGACATACGTCCCCCTCCATATCTCCCCCCAGCATTTAGCCCAGGACAGGCTCAGTGAAGGATAGTCCCAGCAGGGAGGCTGGCAGGAGCAGGATTGCCAAATCCCGGGGACTCCCATGTGATGCAGCAGCTTTATCCCTGCAGGCTCTCGCCTCCTCCTCCCCACCGCCGCTGCCGGCCCCGGCCTGCACCCTGAGCTGCTGGGGGCGGGCCGGTCACCCCCTCGGCAGCCCGGCCCCCAAACACCCGGCCTGGGGAAGGAGGGGAAGCGGATTAGCACGAGGCAGCCACTGGAAGTAATTGATGCACTCGCTGGGGATGCGGGAGCTCTTGTTCCCTTTGTGGCCGCCGCGGCGGGAGCGCTCCCCGGAGCACCAGGATAATGCACGGGGCTCGCTTTGATCCGGGGCCTCGGCGGGGAAGGGGCTGCGCTCTCCTGGGAAGACCTCGCTGGCTAGTGCTGCCTCCACTTTGGGCCGGGGGGATATGGTGATCCAGCTGGGATGCCAGTGCCTGAAAACACCAATCCCCAGAGCAGTGGTGGGATTTGGAGGATCACGTGTAATTCCCCTGTGTCCTCTGCCTCTTCCTGTACCTGTTTGCCCCTTCCCTTGCGAGTTCCTCTGACAGGGTTCTCCGTACCTGCTCCCCAGTTGATGTATTGGAAAACCAGTGCGTTCCCAGCACCACCAGCCATGCTCCTTCCCTAGGGAGAGCAAGGGGAAGCGATGGCTTTAGGAGGTGGGCAGATGGACATAATGCCCCTGCTGCCCCTACCTGGGCACCTGCGCCCCGTGGGGTGCAGTATCCCAGCAGATCTGGGGTGCAGGGGAAGGCAGCCACCCTGGCAGATGGGATTAACACTTGTCTGACCGTCCTGAGTCCCGCTCCTCCTGGGATGGGGCTGGAGTGGCTCAGCCTTGCCCCTCGGAGCCCGCTGGGCAGGGCTCTCTCCTTCTGCTTCTCCTGCTTCCTGGCAGCAGCAGAGCGAGCCCCAGCCCCTCTCTCCCAACACCTTCCCAGGATGGATGGGCAGTGTGGATGGGAGGGAAGGGGCTGCTCTGGTCTGGGCTCGCATGCCCAGGGCGGAGGCGCAGCCTCATCCTGCCCCGTGTCCCAGCCGGGCTCTCCTCCAGCCAAAGCAGGGGCGTAGCTCGAATCCGCTGCGGGTTGGCAGCGGCAGCCGGTCTAGGGTTTCGCTGATCCGGCTGCCTTCCCTAATTATTCCCAGGAAACTTGTAGGGGCGGTGAGCCCCACTCCTGCCCTGCAGGCTCCATTGCCTGCCACACGTGTGCCACGGTGAATGGCACTGCCAGTCCCGGGCCAGGGTCTGTCCCAAAGTGCCTCGAGCCGTCATTCACAGCAGCCCAGAGGAGGAGAGGTTTTGGGGTGGCCATGGCCTGGGCAGGGGTTCAAACGCCGTCAAAAGGGAGACAGAAGGTTGCTCCATTGCAAGGTGTCAATGTTTAATTAGTCTATTATTGCAAATTATTAGATCTTGTGATTGTTTAATTGATCATATGATTGTTTAATTGGGCATACTGTACAAGGGCGGAAACGAGCTACCACGTAATTAGCCCCAAACTGTGCAATTAAATTCTTATTAATACCCCAAACAGCAGGGAACATTCAAGCCTTTAATTAGTGATTAACGGGAGACAGACAGAGCTTGCAACTGCCTCAGCTTGAGGAACAGTGAGAGTATTTAGCCGGGTGAGGGGGACCCGTCTGCCCCGATTAGCGCCGGATGGCTGCGCCAGGGGGTGAGGGGACGGTCACGCGTGCTGCTGTGACCCTGTCCCTGGGTGGGGACAGCCACCCAACCCAGCATGGCCAAGCCCAGCCAAGTCCCCATGTTGGCTGGCCAGTGGGGCTCCAGAATCCCAGCGTGGCTCCTGCTGAGGCGGTGGCAGTTTGCTGACACCCGGCCCAGAGCTGCCTGAAGGAGAGGGGATGATGCTGGGCTGCAAGGGGAGGTTTCTTCTCTGAAACCCAGGTCCTGGTAGGATCAGAGGATCTGCAGCGTGTTCCCAGGGAAAGGTGGCCCTGGGGCTGCCCTGGACGTGCTGGGATCAGTGATGCCAGGAAAGGCCCCAGCCAGTTACTCCCTCACCAATTAAACTGGAGGCAGAGGGACCTGCACCAAGGGTGGTGAATCATTTACCCAACTGTTCTCCTCCACTGCCCATCGCCTCCCCTCTTGCCTGACAGCCCCTCTCCTTTCCTAAAGGATGCTGGGGGCATTCCCAGAGGGACACAAAGCTGCCTTTTGGTGTGACCCAACTTGCCTTTCAGTGCTACAAAGGGATAGCAAGGTCCCCCTACTCCCACAAATTTCTCCTTTGCCTCAGTTCTACGCAGCTGCCTCAGTTTAGCAGCAAAACCCACCTTGGCTTGTTCCTGTCCTGTTATCTGGAGAGTGCAAGAGCATCGTGGATGTTGGGATACTTCACCATGTCTTTTTTGGCCCTGGCAAAACCTGGTTGAGTGTCAGCATCCCCAGCCCAGCAGCATCCTGAGCTGCCTGAGACCTTGGGCAGTATTTGCTTCTCTCTCTCAACGTACCACAACCCAGAATATACCTCAAAAATCTCTGTTTTCCTCTAGCACCAGGGCAAAAAAACCCAAAAAAAACCAGCTCCAAAGGCACAAGCCCCCAAAGGCACCTACGGCTGTGCCGGGTGTTATTTTGATGCCTGCCATGTGATTTCTCACTAATCTCCTACCACGGGGGAGCTCCGGGGGCAGCCGAGGTTTGAGCGCGTGGTGCTGGCACCAACTTTCCACTCAACTCAAGCCTCCAGAAAGGCTCTTTTTTGCAGTTGGGGTTTGCTCTGACTTTCTTCCCCCGGCATCTTCGTGGCCAGAGCGCCGAAGTGGGCGAGGGAGCGTTTGATCTGCGCGGGGTGAAGCTCCTACTGGCACTGCCGGCCGTGGGGAGGCAACTTCACATGGCCGGCCAAGCCAGGCCCAGGCAGTTAAATCCGGGCTGACACGTTAATGAATTTCACAGTACGCCTGGAAAAACTCTCACCCAACCCCAATTTACCGGCACGGGGAGGGGGCCGGGGCTGGGGGAGCGGGGCGCTGCATTTTGCCCAAGGAAATCTTGTTCCCATTATCCTTTTGCAAGAGTGTTAAGTGGGAACGGGCAGCGCTTTGGCTTTTTATCTCACACACGTGGAATCGGCCGGGGGGGCCCCGTGCTTCCTGAGGCTAATTTGTGTGTGCACACGTAACGGTGTGCAGATGTTTCTGTGCACAGCTGTACGTGTGGCTGACCGGGGCTGCTCTGGTGCACGTCCGCGTGCACGCGCGTTCGTGTGGGCACGTTTGTGTGTGCACACGCGTGTGTGTGAGCACACATGGGGTGCTGTGTGGGTTTCTTTGCGTGTGTGCTCATGCACGCAGGGCAGAGCCTCAAACATAAGGCATTTGGGGGAGATGCTGTCACACCCCCCGGCATGAGGTGGGTGGTCCTGCTGGAAGGCCGGGTGGGCTCTATCACCAAAGCCAACCGCCTGGGAAGGGGCAGGGGGAGCAGCGGGGCTGCAGGTGCCCAGCTGGCACTGCCAAACCCCCCAGCTGCACCCCTCCATCCCGCACTTGCCTGCCTTCAGCCAAATACTGCCCTGTTCCTACAGGTGCCCTGTTCCACCCTGACCTCCCGGCACTGCCCCCGTGGGGCGGTGCATGCTGCACATCTGGCCGGCACGTTGGGACTGTGCTGTGCTGTGCTGCGCCCCCCCTGCTCCCCAGCACAGCCCCCAGCTGCCATGGGGGGCACCAGGGCAGCTCCAGCCCACCCAGGGTTTCCCCTCCAGCCCTCACCCTCTGCTCTTCCCTCGCAGCCTGCAACTGCAACCTGCACGCGCGGCGCTGCCGCTTCAACATGGAGCTGTACAAGCTGTCGGGGCGCAAGAGCGGCGGCGTCTGCCTCAACTGCCGGCACAACACGGCCGGCAGGCACTGCCACTACTGCAAGGAGGGCTTCTACAGAGACCTCAGCAAGGCCATCACCGACCGCAAGGCCTGCAAAGGTGAGCGGGGGGGTCTCCACGTGGGCAGCAAGGGTGAGAGAATCTCTCTCGGCCTCCTTGTTCTCCCCTCCCACCCCTGGGGTATCCCTCTGCCTGTAGCCCAGCCGGTCACTCTGGCAGTTGCAGGTCACCTCCATCCTCCACCACCCTGATGGCCTCTGCCACCCCAAGGGCACCACGCAGGGGTGTTGCTTTGAGCCCAGCATGTCCTCGAGGGATGGGGAGGATGACAGGCTGCCAGGAGCCTGTCCATCCTGGGAGGGCCCTGCTGTGGTGACAGTTGCCATCTTCATGGTCAGTGTTTGGAGAGATGCTGGGCAGGTGCTGAAGTCAACATCTGACTAAATGTGCTGGAATCCTGTCTCTGGTATGGTTGTTGTCTTGGACATAGCCATGATTGGAATGTGAGTTCCGTGCTCTGAAGGCCTGGGGATGTTGGTGGAGGTTCCATCAGACCCCACAGGGTGCATTTCAGCTATGGAGTTGGCTCTTGGGACCTGTTTGGGGGGGATACTGAACACCGTGGTTCCTGGTAGCTGTCCTTGAGCTGCCCAGGAGCCACACTGGCTCCAAGCCATGGAACCTGCACCTCTCCTCTCTCTCCTCTGAGTCCTGGCCATGCCTGCCTGCTTCCTCTTCCCTGTCCCTGCTCAGCCCATCTGTGAAGCCTTTTTCAAAACAGTAGTTTCACCAAAGAATTTGAGGTAAGGAGACACCTTGCCTGTCCCCAAGGACTGGCAGGATCCCGACTGGAACATCAGAGTTAGCAGGAAGTCAGCCATGGCTGTTTAGAGGCTGGGATTTCATCCCTGATCCCTGTTTTCCCAGCTTAGATTGCTAGTCCCTCCTGGAAGGGAGCACATCACCCTCTGATCCCTCTCCAATGCATTTTGCAGCTGTGTGGGCACTGGGCACCTTTGCTGCTGCAACAGCATGTGTTTATGTAGGGCCTACAGGAACTACTGGAGCTGGTTTCAGACCATTAACACTGTGGCTGCAGACCTGAAGGGAAGGATTTGCCTGTTGGGGTTCCCCTGGCAGGTGCTGTTGGAGGTCTGGCTCGGCTGGGTTGGGATGTCATGGGTGAAGTTCCACTGTGGCTTGTGCTGTGTGAGCTGCCCCAGGCTCTCTGCAGCCTTGCTCATCCCACGAATGCTTGAGCTCATCCCAGGGAGCAGGGCTGAGCAGACACTGGCAGGAGGGGCCCTGCCTGCAGCCAGCTCATTAGCAAACAGTGAGCTAATCATTTTCAATCTCCTGAGCAGCTGACCTGACAGGTCCCACCTCACAGACCATGTCCTCAGGGACCCGTGGCCTCAGCCAGGCCATGTCACAGGGGCATGGGAACCCCTGGAAGCACGAAGAGTTTCCCCTTCATGAAGCCTGTGCCAGGTGGCAGCCAGGTCCCCAAGCCATGCCAGGTGCCAGCATTCTTGGGGTGACACTCAGAGGGACTGGGAGAGAGGAAGAGGAGGAGGCAGGACAGGGCATGCATCCTGACAATCTATGGCACAGCAACCAAGATCATGTCCTGTTCCTGGCTCTGGCTCTGGCTCTGGCTGAGGCCAGGGATGGATGGCAGAAGCCCTCAGCTCCTGCTGCAGCACCACCAGACTGGGGCAATGCAGCAAAACTCCCTTTGCTGTGACTGCTCAAGTGCTGGGGACCTGTGAGCTCTCCCCCAGTGGCTCCAGGGCTTGGCAGGCACTGGGGTGGCTGTGCCTCTCACTTCAGCTTCCGTGGGCAGCACCTAACCCCCTGCTCTTCCCCAGGGAGGAGTCTCCGCTCCTCTTTGCATTAAGGAGGTTTAGGCTGGACATTAGGAAAAGGTTCTTCCCCCAGAGGGTGGTTGGGCACTGAACAGGCTCCCCAGGGCGGTGGTGATGGCCCCAAAGGCTGCCAGAGCTCAAGGAGCACTGGGACATCACTCTCAGGCACATGGGGAGATTGTTGAGGTTTTCCTATGTAGAGTCAGGAGTTGAATTCAGTGATCTTACTGGGTCCCTTCCAGCTCAGGATATTCTGTGATTTCTTCTACTTGTGCTCCAAAACTACCTGATACAATACCAGCCAAAGTGGAAGCCCTGCAGGCATTTGCCTTCCCAGGGGTCCCAGGGTCCCTAGTGCCACCTCCCTGGGCACTGAGGGCTCAGTTTCTGCTCCAGACAGGAAAGAGAGCACTTACCAAAAGGTAATAATAGAAGAAAAACCCAAAATTAATGAAGCAGGCTGGCTTTGTCTGGGAACCAGGAGAATTACTGAATACAGCATGAGTGTGTGGGACCAGGGACGCTGCAGGCACAGCACTTCCTACTCGGCTGTGGCTCAGGCCCCTCTGCTTGCAGGGCTGAGGATTGAGGAAGCATCCTCCACCCATGGCTGCTTCCATCTGCCTGTATCCACCATTTGTCAGCACAATTCCTGCTCCACCACCCTCCCAGGGCAGGAATTGTGTAGCATTAAGGTGATGGAAAGCATCTCTGATCTGAGGTGGCTCCTCTGGATGGGAGAGGGAGGGCAAAGCACCCCAGGATGCCCAGGAGTTGATGGGATGGGGGAGGGCAGATGCCACAGTGCAGAAGAGATGCAGAAGAGCGCTGCCCAGGCTGGGGAGGGGCGGGGGGGTGGGGGTGCTGCGGCAGGTCCCCCCTCCCAGACAAACCTCCGTCCCTGTGCCAAGCCACAGGCAGGGCTCTGCCAGCCCGGGCAGGGGGGGCTGTTTCCGGAGGGCTGGCAGGGTTTGCCCGTGGTTTGGAAGTGCTGCAAAGGCTCAGCCGAGCCAGATGAACATGTGCACAGGGCCGACCCCCGCCACCGTGCATATGCTGAGGAGGATCTGGCAGAGGAGGCGGTACCCTGGGTCTGGGGAGCCAATTCCTGGCTCTGCCTCAGGGAACCGAGTTCATAATAAAATCCCTGATGCTTCTGCTCCTTTGGCTGCCCCACCTTCAGGAAAGCAGAGAGCATTTCCACCTCTTCCATATCCAGCAGTGGATTTGTTGGGATTTGGAGCTCCTTGGAGCAGGAGCAAGGTCCCAGGTGTGGGAAGGGAGAGCTGTCACTGAGAGGTATAGAAACACACAGTGACAGAGATGTGACAGCACAGTTTGGGCTTGGTTTCTCCAAAGATGTGTCCCGTACCTACAACTCAGGTATCTACACTGCTGCAAGAAAAAAAGAGAGAAAAGAAAAAGCAAGAATCCTGACAACAGATGTTTGAAGCAGGTGTAGAGCAGGTTGATGGAAATGGGGGGCTGTGACTCTGAACAAAGGCTTTTGCACCTACCACAGTGCTGGTCCAGGGCAGAAGCTGAGCATCACTGCAGAGATGGATGCTCATAGAATCACAGACTGGTTTGGGTTGGAAAGGACCTTGAAGATCATCTGGTTCCAACCCCCTGCCATGGGCAGGAACACCTTCCACTAGACCAGGTTGCAGATGCTCAGCTCGTAACCAGGAGGCAAATCCCTAGCCCAGAGGCCAGGAACTGTTGCATCTTATTTCAACAAACCCCAACTCATGTTACAAAATCCCTCTCCACTCGTGGTTTGTCTCCCTTGGGATGCAGCACCTTTGAAAGAGGCACAAAAATACCAACTGCAGATCACCCAAGCCTGAGTTTAACTGAGCTGAGCCCTCAGCCACAGGCAAGTGCTGCCCTCCCACCACTGGATGCTGTGAGACCGAAAAGCTGGGAGAGTGGAAAAGGCAGAGCAACCTACAGGCTTAATTCAATGGCGGTAATTGAAAAGTCAAATAAAGAATGGCTGTGCATTAATCCTGGTAATTTAAACAAAGCTGTAAACTGTGAGCTTTCTCCAATGAAAACTGGTGAAGCAGTAGCAGCTAAGCCTCAAGATGCAGAAATACCCTTGAATATGAGGTGCAAGACATGCTTTCTGGCAAGCACAGCTCGATGAGTTAAGCTCCCAGCTAGTGACTTAATCCACCATTCAAGCTCCACGGGCCAGATCCTGGCAGCCAGAGGGCTGGGAGCAGCAGGGCTTGCTGTGTGGGCAGTGGTGTGGGGCTGTGCCTTCCCTGAGGCCAGGATGGGATCCCCAGGCCAGCCCCCTGCACAGGTTGTGCCAGGATGAGGAAGGATGGAGATGCTACAGCCAGAGCAGTGGGATGGGCCACGCTGCAATGCAGGACCATTGTGGTTTCACCCTGCCAGCCCCCGTGCCCCAGCAGCAGGATCAGGGAGAAAATTGGAAGGGTAAAAGCTGGAAAACTTTTGGGTTGAGATAAAACCAATTTAATAGGGAAAGCAAAAGAGGAACGCACAAGCAAAGAAAAACAAGGAATTCTGCTTTCCAAGGGCAGCAGGTGTTCAGCCATCTCCAGGAGGGCAGGGCCTCATCCTGCATAACACTGACTTGGGAAGACAAACAGCATCACTCCAAACCTCTCCTTCCCCCTTCTTCCCCGCCAGCCTCCTTCTTTTTCCCCTGACCATGATGTCATATGGTCTAGAATATCCCTTTGGTCAGTTTGGGTCACCTGCCCTGGCTGTGTCTCCTCCCAGCCTCCCATGCATTCCCAACTTCCTCTCCAACATGGCAATATGAGAAGCAGAAAAGGCCTTGGCTCTGTGTAAGCCCTGCCCAGCAATAACAAAAACACCTCTATATTATCAACCCCATGTTAAGCACAAATCTAAAACGTAACCCCATAGCAGCCACTGTGAAGAAAGTTAACTCTACCCCAGCCAAAACCGGCACAGGAACCTACTGGGGTAAACACTGCTGCTTGGGATGCTCTTCCCATAGGAGCAGGAAGGAGCAGTGTGTTTTTCTGGGACTATGGGAACTCTCTGCTCTACAATGGGGCAAAGGGGCAGAGATCGGTCTGGCAGAGACCAAACTCATCCCCCAGCAACACTGATCTATTGTGGACTTAAGATGAGCAAAGCTGCCTCAATTACTGATCTGGGTAAAACATCCAGAGTCACTGAAATCCTCCTTCCACTGCATGGAGAGAGATGGGCTGAGATGAACTGGATCCTGACTGTGCCGGGATTTATATCCCATCCATAAGCTTTGCACCAGGAACACACCACTGGGGCCCAAGAAAGCCCGTGTTTCCAACGGCCCTGCGTCATGCCAAGACTCCCTCGCTCGCTGCCATTTGTTATCACAGCTGAGCCCCCAAAATATCCCTGTCAGAAAGACGTCCGCTTCCAGTCCCAGCCAAGATCTGATAAGGATGGAGCATCTGGTCCCCATTAGAGGCTGCTCGCTCTGCTTTCTGGCTGTGCAGGAGGGGGCTCGAGTGCCATGGTGCTCCCACCAATCCCATCTGGTGAAAATTAGGGAAACAATAACATCAGGGGGCTGCGGGGGCGGGCGGGGGAGATGTTTTTGTTTTGCTTTGAAATCACGTTCAACTCTTACACTGATGGAGGCTGAGATAACCTCCTCCAGCTCGTAACCAGCCCAGCCCCAAGCGAGCAGATGGGAAGGTCCTCGCCTGAGGGAGCATCTCCTTCCCACATCCCTCCATGTGGACAAGCTCAGTGTGTCCATCACCCAGTGTGGTGTGATGGAGAGCCACTTTTTTCTCCAGAACTCAGGTGGGCATTGAGGCTTATGAGCTTGGGAAGCATCGAGAAGACCCACTTTATCCTAAACCCAAGACAAGGTTAGAGTTTGTATAAAAGCTCCATAATGGTTCAGCTCCATGGACTCAAAAGCTCAGAGGTCGGGGAGCAAGTGGAGAAAATGGCTTTTACTGCTGCAACAGGAGCATTTCCCTGGGGTTGAGGTGGGGGAAGATTTTAAATGAGAGCTGGTGGCTGCAGACCCCTGTGGGAGTTGCAGGGTCTCCAGGGACTCATCCTGAGCATCCCTGTCAGCAAGGCCATACACTGGCCAACCCCTTTGTCCACTCACACTCCTGCCTGTGCTGCTCACACAGTGGGGCCATGGTTGGTCCAGACCCGTGGCTCTGTGCCAGCTCCAGCAGCTGCTTTCCAGGGGTGCACTGGAAGGGCTCTGTCCTCCTCACCTCTCTGGGGGTTGCACCTCGGGTCCAGTTTGGGGTTTGCGTTTCACATCCCCTCTCACATAACCTTTTCTCTGTCTCCCACCCAGCCTGTGACTGCCACCCCGTTGGTGCAGCCGGCAAGACCTGCAACCAGACCACGGGGCAGTGCCCGTGCAAGGACGGCGTGACCGGCCTCACCTGCAACCGCTGTGCCAAGGGCTACCAGCAGAGCCGCTCGCCCGTGGCCCCCTGCATCAGTGAGTGCCTCCGCCCTGCCCTGCGCTCAGGGACCCCCACAAGCACCAGGGGATGCCCCTTGGTCCCCCACCCGCACTGGATGGCTTGCAGTGGGTGGGAGGCTCAGACGAGAGGGGTCTGTCCTTATGGGTGTTCTCCAGGAGGTGGCTGAGGAGGATGGTTGGGTCACTTTGTGGGGTGGCCTGTGCTTCACATTCCCTAGTGCAGAAGGCTCTGGAGGACCCCTTGGATCAGTGTTTCCAGCCGGCTGAAGCAGCTCTGCTGGGTCCCATCCTCTGCCATGGCAAGTGCCCTCCTCACCCGGCTGCGCCCGGAGCGCGGTCACCTCTGGGCCAAGGCCAGAGCCTGTGGGCAGCACAAAACCTTGTTTATTGTCACAGTGGGTTTGAATTTGACCCAAGTGGCAGAGGAAGAGCTTCCTGCCCTGCAGCATTCGCTGGGGCTGCTGGAGCAGTGGCAGTGCAGGTGAACGGGTGGAGCTGGCTCCTCTCCCTCTCTTCCTCCCCAGATTTAGGGTTAGGACAGAATTTCCACTAGGTTTTATTGCCAAGACTCCTCAGAGAGCATTGTCTTTGCCCACATTCATCCCTGTGCTGGGCAGCCTGGAGCATGCTGAGATCACCCAAGCCTCTATCCAATGTGTCCAAACTGAGTTCAGGTGAGCTGAGCATCTGGGGAACATCCATCCCTGGAACACACACCTCTACACAACGACTGAGGGCTCGTGGGGGTTGCTGCATCTCAGCTTGTCCCAATTTACTGAACTCACAGTGGACATCTCCAGGTCTATTTGTTGGGCTCTGCTGTTCAGGTCACACTCATCCCATCATCTTTAATTTGTGATACCCAAAATACCCTTGTAGTCCATTTTCAACTGGGTTTCTCCCAGTTGTCACCCCTAGAGTTGGGGACCTCTTTCCTAAAGACACCTCTCCCTTTCTTTTCCAGAGATCCCTGCCATCAACCCCACCTCCCTGGTCACCAGCACGGAGGCACCTGCAGGTAAGTGCTCCATGTCCCTGGCCAATCCATGGCCACAGCCCTGCCCAGAGACCTGGGGGCCCATCCCAGTTCCTGTCCCTGGCACACCAGGGGAAAGGGTTGAGCTCTGGCAAACCATTTGGCAAAACGCGAATAGTGAAAAATTTCAGTGGAAGTATCGACTGAGATTTGAAATCCTATGACTTTCTGGAAAAGAGATGACTAAGGTTGATGGACTTTCTTGGGAAAGGCCTTCTCCATCCCCTCCACGGAGGAGAGCAGGGATGCAGCCCCCTGGGGCCCTGCCACCCCTCGGTAGGTTATGGCACTGGTGGCTTTGTTTAAGCTCCTTTTTTGGGTGTCAGTGGTTTTTCCTTGGTGCCCTTTGCCTCTGCAGGGCCCCGGCGCTCTGGGAGGTGCTGGGGCTCTGGGGGTATGGCAGGTTGTCAGCTGCAGGCAGGGCTGGTATCTCTGTGGTTGCTGCAGGTTTACTCATGCTCCTGCAGAGCTGGGGCTGGGCACTGCTGGCTGGGTGCATGGATGCTACCTGAACTGGTGGATTGGGGTCCCCTTTCCAGCCCAGCCATGGCCCAAGGTCCCACCAAAGTGCCCTGAGCTCCCACTGTGTCACAGCACATGCTGGTAGAAGTGCTGTGCTGGCCCCTGGCCCCTGTGCCACCATGGTAGGATGCTCCCAGCAGGGTAAGGAGGGCTGTCTTTGGGGTTTTCTCTCTCCCCTCCTCTCCTTTCACAGTCCCATCAGCACTGCAGTGTGACTGTTCCCAGACATCCCAATTCTATCTCACTGTAGGGATTCCAACTGAGTGGAGGGGGAGAACCTATGGAAAGGAACTGCTCCCTCCTTCCTCAGGCCACCCTTCTTCCTGCTGTCCCCAAAACCTCAGTATTCTCCCACATACCAGTGTGGTGGATTAGACATCCTGAACCATCCTCCACTCCATCCCATGGCACATGGTCCCATGAAGAGAGCAGGAGCACCTCCATCTCTCCACGCCCATATTTAATGGGCAGCTTCCCCTGCCCTGTTCAGAATATGTCTATCCCAGGGAAGCCCACGTGCTTGTCAGAGAGCCAGTGCTCTGTTTGTAACCTTCTCCCCAGCTCTTCCTCCCACAGCCACCTTGCCTTGGTGGTGGAAAACACCAAAAACCTCTTCCCAGGCTGGTGTGTGCCTGGGATGTACTCTCCAGGCTGCTGGGAACATCTCCAAGCACAGCCCTCGGTGGCTGTAGGAGAGGGGCAGGGACAAGGTGTGTTGAAGGTATGGAGTTCTGGGCCCTCCCTCAACTAGACCGGCACTGAGGGGCTGGAGCGTGTGCAGGGAAGGGAACAGAGCTGGGAAGGGGCTGGAGCAGCAGGAGCAGCTGAGGGAGCTGGGGGGGCTCAGCCTGGAGAAAAGGAGGCTCAGGGGGGACCTTCTGGCTCTGCAACTCCCTGACAGGAGGGGGGAGTCGGAGGAGGTCAGGCTCTGCTCCCTGGGAACAAGGGACAGGACAAGAGGAAAAGCCCTCAAGTTATGCCAAAGGAGGTTTACATTGGATATTGGGGAAAATTTCCTCCGTGGAACGGTGGTCAGGCCCTGGCACAGCTGCCCAGGGCAGCAGTGGAGTCCCCATCCCTGGGAGTGTTCAAAAAGCAAGTGAAGAAGTGGCACTTCACCATTTGGGTTACTGGGCATGAGGGTATTCAGTCGAAGCTTGGACTTGATGATTTGAAGGTCTCTTCCAACCTTAATGGTTCTGTGATTCTGTGGCAGGAGTAAAGCATGTGGGTGGGGGTGGAGAGGGGAGGTGCACAGGAGGAGGTTGGTGGCTCAGCTCCTTGCACGTGGCTCCGACTGGGAGCACTGCACAGCCCGGCACCCACCCAGCACCCATGGGCACTGCTCAGCCCTCCCAACCCTGCTCCACAGAGCCTCTGCAAAACAGGAGGTGTTTTCAGGACATGAGCTGAGCAGCCCTGCCTGGACCTGGCAGAGGTTTCACTCCACGCTGTGGCAGCGGAGGAGAGCCAGGACTTGGGGTGCGCATCTTGCCCAGGAGGAAGATGCTGAGCTGAAGTGGTGGTACCACTACTGGGGGGACTGAGTGGGACAGGGCAGACCACCACCACCTCTGCTCCTGCCTGCCCTGCCTGCCCTGTGTGCTGTGAGGAGGGAGCTGGGGACACCAGGCTTTGGGAAAAGGAAAACAATGCGGGGAGGGAAAGGGGGATTTGAGCAGTTTAGTTGCCAACAGAGAGTGTCATGTGGAGCAGAGCTAATCGAGGTGATTCCCCTCCAGTGCTTTATAAATAGGAACAGTCTCACAGTGGTGTCTGAGCTGTTCAGCTGAGCAAAAACAAACTGTGCTGCTGAAGAGCCGGGTTGTTTGCTTTGTTTTAGCAGAGCAGGTCTGCCTCAAACTGCCTCCAGTTTATCTGTGGGTTTGTTGGTTTAAGATTTCTGGCTTCCAGCTCGAATATCTTTAATGCAAAGTAGTTGCCTCTGCCCAGAGTCTGCACCACTCTGGGAAAAGCAGGGCACAGGGATCCTACTGCCCCTTCCCTGGGGAGTCAGAGGAGGGGGGTGATGCTGTCCTGCCCTGCACTGCCTGGGTTACCTGACTCCAGTGTGCTTGAGCCATGGGCAGGGCTGGTCACAGCAGTGCACCCTGCCTGCTGCCTGCACCCTGCCTGCTTCCAGGACCCTGCCTGTACCCTGCACCCTGCCTACTGCCTGCACCCCGATGCCCCTCTGCCTGCATCCCTCTGTCCCAGGAGCCCCTCACCAGGCCACTCCCCAAGGGGCCCTCAATGCCACCCAGTCCTCCCACCCCAGGCAGCCTCCAAGCCCCTTCTTCCCCCATTTCCCCACCTCCCACCCTGCCTCTGGCAGCATGTGCTGGCTGCAGGAACAGGGGAACATTGTCTGGGGCCGCTGTGCTCAGGTGCTGGGCTTCTCCCCCTCTCCCTATCCTCCTCCCTGCTGGGGTCCCATCCCCAGCTGCGTCCAGGCTTTTCACTGACACTGCCATCTTCTGCATCACTCTTCCCAGCTTTCTCCTGCCTTTCTGGTCTTCCAAAGCCTTTGAGGTCCAGCTTTGATCTCTGTGCCTGAGCAGCTGATTGGCTTGGTGATGAAACGTCCTGGGTCCACTTCTCATAATTTTATTATTATTATCTTAAAATATTTTCCACTTAGTGGAAAAAAATGAATCCGTGTTCCCCGTTAGCAGAATTAACAAAACTCGTGGAGCGCAAAACAGGGCTTTAAAGGAATTCAGAGTAAGCAGTGAAAGATTTGCAGCCATAACACCTAATTAAGTTACATCTCTCTTAAAACAAAATATGCCTTTTTTTTTTTTTTCCAAGGAGAGGAGAAGTAAACCAGATGTGCAAACTTGCCTCCTCTCACACACACTCCCCCCGCAGGGAGCCAGGCCAGTGGCTCTGGTTGCCAGCAGCCTCCTCCCACTCTGTCCTTGTAGCATCTCCCAGGGATGCAGTAGTGGCAGGAATGGGGTTGTAGCTCATCCCAGGGATGTCTCAGTCTCAGAGACCAGGCTGTAGCTTATCCCAGGGATGCAGCAGTGTCAGGGATGGGGCAGTAGTTAATCCCAGGGATGCAGCAGTGTCAGGGAC